AATAAGTTTTTTCGAAGCTGCTGTAGCTTTGTAATCATCATTAAACTCATCCATCTCTTTCCAAATCCTCTGCACTGTCCTCAGATTGATACCCAAACACTCTGAAATGTTTGTATTGGATATTCCAGCATGAATGCCAAGCAATGCAACATGCCATTTCCAAATTTCTAGCAGGGTGAACATGGTACTCTTTTTTTCTCAAAGACAGTGCCCAACTGACCATACTATACTGTGCAGTTAACAAAATCCAAAACAATGCACAGGCACAAAATAAAAAAATAGAAACTGACGACAATTTATCCATCGCACCATGTATATCTTTTATAAATTTAAGTTATTCAGAAGTCTATCATATTGCAATTTGAGTGCTGCTTTGGCTTTCTTTAATTTCTGTAGTCTTATTCTGAAATCACATATCACTAGAAGGTGGCCACTCACACAGTCAGTAATTGGATATGCTTTACAGTGTAAAACTGTATTCTTGAATCTCTTACTGATCATTAAGTAGTCAAGTTTTTCATTTTCCCTTCTTGGCTTCTCCATGTTTATAACTGTCTTGGATATTCTTGCATTGACTAGTTGGTCGCTTTACACCATTTGGACCCATTTTTCTCTGTGTACCTTATGGGTTCCTAGTCTGAATTTGCCAGATATTTCACCATCTCACTCATTTACAGGCAAAAAAATGCTGGCAAATAGACACACTCAGAGATTACAAATGATTCAAAAATAAATTTTAAAAGATTTAATTTTCAAAGCAGTTGCCTGAATTTACACTCAAACCATATAATGATTAACGATGTGTATTTATTTATGTACTAGCAGTATAACCCGTCTTTGACCGGGTCTTTCATGACTGGGAAATTTTGCTATTCAAATGGAGCAGTTTAAGTTTAAAGTCAGTCCATCCAAAAATCAATATTAGTAACAACATTTGGGTGCAACTGAGGAACATCCCCAAATTTTAACAATTTGAATCGGGGGAGGTGGCCCTGAAAAGGGAACTGTATAATAATAAATAATATTATTGCAATAATTTAAACTATTTATTTTTATTAAAGTTTTTATAAAATATATCCAAGAACAGATAGTAAATAGTAAAATGTTACTGAGAGTTATAATGGACAGGAAGTAGTGGAGAGCCATTGTCACCAACGATTTGGACTCAAAACAGGCACTGAAGAATTGTCTATCAAACAAAAGAATTTCATCGAAATTGGATGAAAACTATGGAAATGCATAAACAACATCCAACTACACACACGCACACACACATTTTGAGAATTATAGATATAGATTTCCAGTCCCATGTGAGAAGGGAGGTAAATCAATTTAAGTTAGTAAATTTATGAGTGCTTTCCTAATTTTGTCTAAATGCAAATAAATATTTTAGTCATATAAATTATTAAAATTAATAAGGGACCAATTCCACTATTTCAGAAATAGTAAATCTAATCACCATTGTAGGATGAAAGTAGAACTTTAAATGTTTAGACTATCAGATTTCTCTGGTCAAGACAGATAATATCCCACAAGGAAGTCAATTATGTGGTTACCTAGCACAGATCACATGCAAAAAAAAAAGTACAGACGTTAACTGATTAAATAAATACAAAAATTGTAGGTAAAAAGGCATAGTTAGAGATTACAAATGATTCAAACAATAAATTAAAAGATATTACAATTTCATAAAAAATTGCAGCAGCTGAATTAATAAAATAATAGCATTTCCTAATGTGATAATCATATGTTATTTTCCATATACTATTGCATCAATATCATAAGCATCTTCATTTCAAATATTTCTTTCATTTGCCATAGAAACAAAAACAATAAAGCTCAAATTAACAGATCTCAGTTTTAACTGCAATTAAGTATGGATTGACAGATATATTATTGTAATGACAAAAGTACGCAAGTGTAGGCTTTAAGAAAGCTTTATTCAACTGAGAATACAAGGTTCGTGTATAGTGTCCTTTTATAGTCCCAGTAAACCGAAATAGCTCTCTCAAAGTGGAGAGTAACAAAACAAGAGGAGACCACTCTTGATTATTCATAAAATTATAATAATGAAAATTTTCAACCATTCCAGTTACTCCTCACCTGGAAAATAATTCATTCTTAATCCTTCCTTATTTGGCCAATAGTTGTCCACATAACGAGTATTTCCTGAAAAAAAAAAACAATCAGAAATGAAAGATAAACATTATTTGCAAATATTTCAAACAATAGGTAAAACAAAATCAGAAACTAAGACTTATTTTTCAAAACATTACATTAAATCATTTTCTACCTTGAAGTATTTACAACAGGAAATTCTTAAAATGCATCAAGACTGTTTTTGTAGTTGTACAGAAAACAAAGCAAATCAGTGCAAGCAAACTTACGACGTCTTAACACTAATCAGAAAACATCATCTTAAGTAAAACATATACAACCACACTGACCAAACAATACACAAAAGAAAAGTATTGGATGCAATACCTACCTCTAACTTTATACACAAGACTGGCCCATTCTCCACCACATTTTTCAGCTGCATTTCCACTGCAAGGCATATTACACTTATAAGATCTACCATATTTGTCATAGCCGTAATTTCCACAAAAACACTGCGTTCCAAACTACAATAAAACAAATTTTATATTAGTTTTCCTCTCTTAAGAATTTCAATATTTTATCTCTTTTTCAGAGAACAAATGAAAAAAAATCAGAGTCAAAGTAAATAACTTAGTCTTTTATAATTGACAATTTAGTTAACAAAAATTCACAATCAGGACTGGAGAACGTTTTCATTATCACTGAAATCAGCATACATTTTGATCTGCTCTATTTGATGAATTTCTCTGGAATTTTATCTTTTTAAACAAAACCTGCTTACTTTGAAATATGACAAATTATTAATCAACACATGAAAGTTACTTACTTGAAGAGCAGCATACTTATACTTTCCAGCACGACAATATTTCTTGCACCTTTCAATAGACATGGTGTCCGAAGAAGAAAATTTATCTTTCATAGCTCTATCTTTTTTGTCTGTAAAACATCCAACCAGATCTGGAAAAAATGAAAACAAATTTAATAGAAGTGAAACTTCCGAACCAATTTTATATGCGAATACTTAAAAATAACTGATATGAGACAAAAGCTATTTCAATAAAAATAAATGTAATGTTTCATCATTTGTTCAAATTAGGAAAAGTGTATATGCTCAAAAACCTTATAACAACCCTTTTATCTCATCTAATATCATTAAGAATGAAATCCTGTATAATATTTGCAAATGTTTGCATATTTGTATGTTTTACAAGACATTGGCACCTCCAGGTTGTGTGATGGTCAGCGAGCTTGTCTTGCTAGAACAATTATGACTGAGTAGTGAGTTCAATCCTCACTTGGTGACCCCCTATTTTTGACCTTGTGACACATCTAAGCTACGCTTGGAAAATCACTATATTGGGCACCTCGGTGTAGTGTAATGGTTAGCAAGCTTGTCTCTCTAAAACAGTTACAACTGGAGAGTGAGTTCGATCCTCACTGGGTGCTCCATACGCTTGGAAAATCACTGTTCCACAAGGCATAAAGATAATGTTTTAAGAAAGCTTTCCATCCTCTTTTTCGCTCTCTTGTTTTTTCTCCATCTTCTTCTTTCTCCCTTTCTCTTTCTTTCTCACACTCACTCTCTTCTCTATCAACTCATTTTGGACTTCCCACTTATCTTTTCCTTTTTCTCCCTTTCCTTTTCCCTTCTTCTTTCTTTCTCTTTTTCTCTCTTTCTCATAAAAATTCATGCTTCATAATTCCAAAACAAATGTATGCAAATTTTCATGAAAGTTCCTAATTCCAAAAAAAATTTCATGATAGTTTTAGCAAACTCCATAACCTTTTTGCCATTATGCTGAACATGTGTCAAATTGCCAGTCTCCTACATTCTTTGAATGAAGCATCAAGAAAACATGACTGAGAACTTAAAGTATGAAGCTCAACAGGCAATCCCAGGCATCAACATTCAGTTCTCTGAAGAAATTTTCAATCAAGCATTGACTGAAATTGAGAATGAAGTTTTAGCCAAAAATACACAAATTTTGTCTTTCTTCCTCGATTCGAGAACAACAAAAGCTTTTATCGACTGAGCATTTTTTTCATTCATTCATTGACAGCTGAAGGAGGACACACAATATTAGCATATCCAAAATATTTTTATGGTAACTCCTGTGACTGACTTGTTTCTAATTTAAATATCCTATCTTCAGCATATCATGCAGAATACATGCGCTTTTTTCAGCAAGTAACTTTCTTTTTCAGCACATTTTGCCTCGTAGAATACACGTGATACACTGTCACTTGGTTTGACGAGGTAATTCGCATTTTTCTTCACTAAAACAGATTATGAAATCAAAGATTTGGCTGCATTTGTGAATGAACATGAGCCTAAACTTCTTCCAGAACAATGCTGCATAGAGAAAAAAGTTGAAGAATGTTTTTTCTTGATGCTCCAGGCAGCACAGGTAAAACATTTGTAACAACATTGCTATAGCATTATCTCACATTGTTGCTACCCTTCTCACAGGATGACAAACAGCTCACTTTGCATTTAAATTTGCATTAAACCTACTCACAAATGACAGTGCAGTTTGTAACATAAGCAAAGGCTCAACAGAAGTTTTGTGCTAATGTTACCTGATCATTTGGGATGAACGCACCATGTCTCATAGTGGTGCGTGATTCATTCATTCATTTTCTACGGCTTTGCAAGTTATTTGAAGCCAGAAAATATTTTTAGATTGTAAGAATTTTTTGCTTTTTGGAGATGATGAAGGTTTAGTGATACAAGTCTTAAAAATTAACCCATAGCTAGGAGGGGAGAAGATGTGGATTCATACATTTCCCAAGGGCATTTGCACATAGGTGAATATAACAAACCCAACAGGAATTGGAACTCTGGTCTTCAATTAACAATTCCAAGCCCTTATCCATTACACCACCAACACATCCAAGTTTACAGCAATTGCTATTCCTTACCTGTCACCTATCTAGGTACTAACCAGGCTCGACATTGCTTAACTTTGGTGATCATATGGAAACTGGTGTTTCCATGTAATGCAGCCATAAGCCAGAGGTACAGTAGAAACCCTTGATAGACCCTTAAAAGACATAAAAGGCTACAATACATCTATGGGAGTAGTTACATTAGTTTTATCAGGTGAGTTCAGACTGACATTACCAGTCATTCCTAGAGGAACAAGAGCTGATGAAAGCATGCATTAGGACCCTGGTTAAGGAATAAAGTACAGAAATTCTCCTTAAATATTAACATGCTAGATTTATTACATTAGGAAATTTGTGCAGTACAGTTTTCAATCCGACTCCTCCAATTAGGAAATGGAAAAGTGCCAGTTGATGGGAATGGAAAAGTACCAATTGATGGGAATGGTGATATCAATTTGGCTCTTATTGCTATCATGGTGGACACCCAACGGAATTTAAGAAGTGGATATTTCCAAAGCTAAGAAAACATTACAATTCATGCAAATGGTTGTGTGAAAGGGTGATTCTTGCTTCAAAAAATGAGACAGTATCAACAATTAATCATGAGGTAACAGTAATTAAGAGTATAATTCAGTCCCTGATGAAAGTCGAGTTGTCCAGAACCCAACAGAGTTTCTTAACTCTCTTGAGCCACCTGGAACTCCTCCACACAAATTTTTCCTGAAGGTTAGAGTCCCAATAATGCTTCTAAGAGATTTAGATCCTCCTAAATTATGCAATTGGATGATTCTGATTCTGAAGACATTATCACCTAAACCGAATAAGGCTATCATCACCACTGGATGTGCCTCTGGGGAAGATGTTTTCAATCCAAGAATTCCAATCAAACCAATAGACATGCTATGTTAGTTCAAACAAACACAATTCCCAGAACCATTTTCTTTTTTCAGTGACTATCAATAAGGTACAAGGTCTGACATTAAAAAAATACTGGCTAGCATTTGAATGAGCATTACTCTACTCATGGTCAGTGTCACATTGGTTTCTGAAGGGTAGGCAGGTCACAAAGCTTATTTGTGTATGCTCCAAACCAGAAAATAAAGGAAGTTGTTTACCCAGGAGCTTTTACTTAATTACCTCCAACAATTTTAATAGAATTTATCTTCTCTCATAAAATTGAAAATTTTCATTTTGATTATTTTTTTGTATTATGAATTCAGAACTGATTTTAACAATTGAAGAATAAACAATGATTTAGAATAACAAATTTCTATACTACATGTTTTAATTTCTCCTTCTAATATATAACTACAACATTCATGTGCAGGCAATGCCAGGTGCCTTTGCTACAATTTAATAATTGTACTGCATATATATTTTTTTAAATTATAGGTAAATAGACATAGTTAGAGATTACAAACGATTGAAATGATAAATTCAAAAATATTTCAATTTCATCAGAACTTACTTGAACTAAATTAATAAAATAATAATAATCATATCTTATTTTCTATATTCTATAGCAAGAATTTTATAAGCATCTTCATTTCAAATATTTCTTTCATTTGGCATAGAAAAAAAATTAAGGCTCAAATTAACAGATCTCAGTTTTAATTGTAATTAAGCAAGAATCAACAGATATATTATAATAATGAAAATTTTCAAACATTCCAGTTACTCCTCACCTGAATCATAATTAATTCCTAATCCTTCCTTATTTGGCCAATAGTTGTCCACATAATGACTATTTCCTGAAAACAAACCAATCAAAAATGAAAGATAAACATTATTTACAAATATTTCAAACAATAGGTAAAACAAAATCAGAAACTAAAACTTATTTTTCAAAACATTACATTAAATCATTTTCTACCTTGAAGTATTTACAACAGGAAATTCTTAAAATGCATCAAGACTGTTTTTGTAGTTGTACAGAAAACAAAGCAAATCAGTGCAAGCAAACTTCACACTAATCAGAAAACATTGTCTTTAGTAAAACATACACAACCACACTGACCAAACAATACACAAAAGAAAACTGAGGTATTGGATGCAATACCTACCTCTAACTTTATACACAAGATTGACCCATTCTCCACCACATTTTTTCAGCCTCATTTATCAAAACAACTGATATAACACAAAAGCTCTTTCAATAAAAATAAATGTAATGTTTCATCATTTGTTCAAATTAGGAAAAGTGTATATGCTCAAAAACCTTATAACAACCCTTTTATCTTATCTAATATCATTAAGAATGAAATCCTGTATAATATTTGCAAATGTTTGCATATTTGTATGTCTGTTTCACGAGGCACTGACACCTCCAGGCAGTGTCAGCAAGCTTGTCTCACTAGAATAATTATGACTGAGTAGTGAGTTTGATCCTCACTTGGTAACCCTCTACTTTCGGCCTAGTGCTACATCTAAGCTACACTTGGAAAATCACTATATTGTGCATTGCAGTGTAGTGTAATGGTTAGCAAAGATTGTCTCTCTAAAACAGTTATGACTGAAGAGTGAGTTCAATCTTCACAGGGTGCCCCATACTTTTGCCATTGTGCCACATCTAAGCTACACTTGGAAAATCACTGTTCCACAAGGCATATTATAATGTTTGAAGAAATCTTTCCACTCTCTTTTTCTCTCTCTCATTTTTTTCTCCATCTTCCTCTTTCTCCCTTTCTCTTTCTCTCTCACTCCATGTCATTTGTGACAAATCATTTTTAAGGAAACTTCCCAACCTCTCTCTCTCTCTCTCTCTCTCTCTCTCTCTCTCTCTCACTCTCTCTCTCTTCTTTTCACTCCATCTTCCTCCTACCCACTTTCTCTTCTTCTCCCTATCTGAAATCATTTTTAAGGAAACTTTTCCACCCAATTCATATCCGGACAATACCAGGTGCCTTTGATACTATTTAATAATTGTACTACATATATTTCTATGCAAAAATTATAGGTAAATAGACATAGAGATTATAAATGATTCAAATAATAAATTATAAAATATTTCAATTTCATCAGAACTTACTTGAACTAAATTAATAAAATAATAATAATCATATCTTATTTTCTATATTCTATAGCAAGAATTTTATAAGCATCTTCATTTCAAATATTTCTTTCATTTGGCATAGAAAAAAAAATTAAGGCTCAAATTAACAGATCTCAGTTTTAATTGTAATTAAGCAAGAATCAACAGATATATTATAATAATGAAAATTTTCAAACATTCCAGTTACTTCTCACCTGGAAAATAATTCATTCCTAATCCTTCCTTATTTGGCCAATAGTTGTTCATATAATAAGCATTTCCTGAAAACCAACCAATCAAAAATGAAAGATAAACATTATTTTCAAATATTACAAACAATAAATAAAACAAAATCTGAAACTAAAACTTCACTTTCAAAAGATTTTACTAACTGATTAAAAAATAAAATCATAAATTCAACAAGAAATTTAGAAACAGTTTTGGCCCAAGATCTGTCACATTTTTCCAATGAATTTCCACTGCAATCCATATTACAATCAAAAAATGTACTATAATGAAAACTAAGGCATTTTAGTTACTCCTCATCTGGAAAATAATTAATTTCTAAAACTTCCTGAATTTACAATAAAATAACATTTCCTAAAATGATAATCATAGCTTCTTTTTGATTTACTACGCTTTCAATCTTATAAGCATCTCCATTTCAAATACTCAAGTCATTAAGGTCCAGTGCATAGTACCCCCAAATCCTCTAGCACTTGGGGTGGGGGGCTGATTTAGGGCTTTGGGCAGTGCTTTGTGATCCTCACTATCTTATGAACATTTGCTTTTTTCTACCTAAAATTATATGATACAAATTAAACTAAGCACAACTGACTATTAAAAGATGAAAACTTTTTGCAGATTTTGATGTCAGTCTTGGAACTTTTTTATTTGTCCAAATCTGTAAATTTGTTTTATTCATGCTAAGTCTCAAAAAAAGACTACATAAAATTCCCTATCTTTTATCCATAATATTGACTGTGTTAAAATTATTCAACTTTTTAACAAGAAAATGTCAAGCTAATGTTAAAAATTGCCACAAAACATTGTTGATTTATTTAAGATGAAATGATCAATTATGACATGTCTTTAATTTGTATTTAGATAGATTGTATTTATTTTCAATTTTTCTAGTTGAATTGTTCACCTATATTGCATATACTTCATTATTGTACTTAATTAGGTTGCAATAAAATTTGTATTTTATATGAATACTACCTTATGAAAATTGAAATGTAGTAAAGGGGTGGCACATCATAGATTTGGAAGGAGGATTATAGATTTGTGGGGGGGGGGGCAACATCCTTTCCAGATTTCATTTGACATAATAAAAAAAGAATGGAATTTCAAAGGAAGAGTTTGAATTTTTTTTAATTAAGCAAACATCTACTAATGCAGTCTAATAATGAAACCGTCTACTTTGTACACAGAGTTGGCCCAAATTCCAATGCACATGTCATCAGCTTTACCTTTGCAAGGCATATTACAATTTTCAGACCTACCATATTTGCTGTAGCCACTAATTAAGCAAACATCTACTAATACAGTCTAAAAATGAAACCTTCTACTTTGTTTCCCTCGTCTGAGAAATAATCACTTCAAATCCCTCATCCATTGCTAACCTGGCTGTGCGTCTCGAAAAGGACCTCGAATCAGTTGTGAACTGGGGCAGGAATTGGCTGGTCAACTTTATGCTTCAAAAACAAAACTGCTCTCTATTAATCACCACAGAAACCCTTTCCTGCCCTCCATTAGAATGTCTGACGCTCAACTTCTTGAGAGCACCTCTCTGCGGCTGCTCGGTTTCACATTGGCTGCTGACCTGAGATGGAACAAATACATTGAGTCAATTGCTTCATCCACCGCAAGGAAAGTTGGCTCCCTGTGCCGCGCCAGGAAATTTTTCTCCCTGGAATCAATCCTCCATATCTACAAATCAACAATTCACCCTTGCATGGAGTATTTCTGCCATATATGGTCTGGAGCCCCTTCTGTTTGCCTCGGGGTTCTTGATAGGCTCCAGAGGCGGATATGCAATATAATTGGCCCTGCTCTGGCATCTCGTCTACAGTCAC